ACACCCTGAAAACAAAACAAATGAGAACTTGATGTGGGGCTGTCTAGAAAGGTGATTCTTAAAAATAAAGGTTAAGAGTACTAAGAATCTCATTAATCATCTGCAAATGATAATAATGTCATATTCATAACCTTGTTCTGTCTATAAAGGGGACGATGAATTGAAGCTGATAAATGGAACTGGCCCCTGCTCAGGGAGAGTGGAAATAAAACATGAGGATCAGTGGGGAACTGTGTGTGATGGTGACTGGAATAGAGAAGATGCCGAGGTTGTTTGCAAGCAAGTTGGATGTGGATCTGCTGTTCAGGCCCTCAGCCGAGCTCCTTTTGGAGAAGGATCTGGACCTACGTGGTTGTATCGAGTAGAGTGCCGTGGTAATGAAACTGCTCTCTGGAACTGTCCGCATACAGGCTGGGATGGCTTTACCTGCCCTCATTATTTTGATGTTGGAGTGATCTGCTCAGGTAAGAAGTTCTATAATCTTTAATAATAGAGGAATTCCCACAATACAAAGGAACTGAGATCAATCTTTGTCCTAAATGAATAAAGTCTAGTAATGTGGACAGCAGAGAGGTAACACTTTCTCCATGACCTCTGAACCCAAACAAGTCACACCACCATTAAAACTTCTGCTGACTGCAAATGTATGTCTGCTTTGCCTTTGGAGTGATACAGAACAGAAATAGACACAGTAAATCACACAGAACAGAAATAAACACCATTTCTTTCTACCATGCCTCTTGCAGTCAACATGAGAGCAATAATCAACTTGCTTCTGGCCAGGAAGCTAAAGAGAGGGTATAGATGGAGAAGCAAGAAAATTCTGTATTATGCTATCCAAGCATCCTCCTTTAGATCTTCCTGTAAGCTAAGACAGGAATTTTTGGAATGGCAAAGAAATCCAGTGTATGCTCGATGTCTTCACTTGCAATAATTGCTTGGTTTTGCTCCTTGGAGCACTACTAGAGTTTCTTTCCTCTCTTTAGGACTTCACACTCATTCTTTTTGATTTTCATAAAGTTACTGTCAACTTATTACTTCCTCCTGTGTTCACCAGAATGGCAGCTCTGCCCCTGAGGTTATCTCAGCTCAGTAAAAGTGTACTCATCAAGTTCTCCAGGATGCTGATGAAGATACAGAAAGGAACAGATCTCAGGGAAGACAACAGTGGTAATCCACTTGTTGCCAATCTCCAGGTTGAGTGCAATTCACTAAGAATAATCTGAGCCTGACTGATGAGCTTTTTGCCCATCTAGTCATTCACTCATGGAGACTGTTACAAGACACAAAAATTGTGCAAGACAGTTTCAAAGACCTTGTTAAATTTGAGGTGAATAGTATGTACTGCTCTTATCCCATCGTTCACAAATCAGTCCTTTTTTCAGAGAAAACAATCGGGTCACATAGGCATGGTTTACCCTTGGAAAATCCACGCTGACTCTCCTTGTTCACCTTCATCTTCACCCGCTTAGAAATATGCTCCTGGAATACTCACCCCATGATTTTCTCTAACCAGCCTCTATTTCTTCAGGTCGTCTTTTCATCCTTTTCTGAAGATGAGTGCAACATCTGCCTTTTTCCTATTGCTAGGGACATAATCTCTACAACCTTTTGAAAATGGCCTCTTTTTAGAGAGTGAACTTGAAAGAACATTGGCCAGTTTAGATATACCACATTGCATCCCGTGGGTTTATTTAGGTCAAATTCTTTCTCCTGAACTCTGTTTGCTGTGCACTTTTTCTTCTTTCTCACCCCATTTAATATTTGGAAATCCACTATTTCAGGGTGACTAAATACTACCAAAGATTTTCATAACCCCAACCAAGCAAGTTCTTCCTTGCTACCGAATAGACGTCATGTCTGTGTTTCTTAAATATATGCAAGGATGAGGACTCCACCATTTCCCTGGGCAGCCCATTCCAATGCTTCTCCACACTCCCTGTGAAGAAATTCTTCCTAATCTTCAGCCTAAACTTCCCCTGGTGCAACTTGAGCTCATTCTTTTGTGTCATATCACTAGTCATATGATTAAAGAGACAACTTTTAGCTGTAGAGAGCAACAAGGTCTTCCCTCATCCTCTTTTTCTCCAGACTAAACAATTCTAGTTCCCTTAGTTGCTCCTCATAAATCTTCCATTCCCTTCACCAACTTCATTGCTCTTCTTTGCACTTTGCTTGTGCAAACCAACATCCTTCTTGAAGTGAGGGACTGAAAACTAACCACAGTATGTGAAGTGTAGTTTTGCCAGTGACAGCATGAAGATGTGTGATTTGGAGATTTTCTTGTTTTGTTTATAGAAGATGTCATCCAATTCCTCACCTTAATGGGTGGTTTGTTACAAGTCCCACCGCAAGATCAGCCTTACTAGCCTCTCCTTTGACTCAAAGCCACAAACTCTTCCAGGCTCTGTGGAGTCACTCTTGATAAACTTGAGATTTCCCTTGACAGTACCATCGGTGCTCATGTGAATAACATTTTCTATGCTACTGCACAGCTATAAATTCATTGTGGTGATTGTATGCACTGCACAAAAACAAATCCATTACCATTTCTGTATTATGTCCGCTGAGAAGAAAAACACAAAATAAATATCTCACCCAAGAACAGTGGTGGAACTGTTATGATATGAAGTACTTCACTGCTAATAGAGCTGTGGAGCTGAAAAAAAAAAATGCAAATGACAAGAAAAAATATCATTTTATGCTGACTATAGAACTTCAAGAATGTTATTGAGTGGAGTTAAGGAAAAAAAGCACCAGGTGAGATACAGACACTGAGCTGGCTACGTGTAGCCCCATCTGAATGGAAGCAAGTTGTCTACTACGAGTGCAATGCCACAGAAGAAAAGCAGTGCATTACTGTTTTCAGGACAGGTCGTTTCTCTCACAAGCTGCAGTGCCTCAGCTCCCACATTCCATCAAAACTGAGATTGGCTTCATTCAGAGTCTGCACAGCTAACTTTTGTCTAGTATGCCTTGCCTGAGCAAGATCTCCTGAAATATGGAGCTTGTGAAGTGATATGCAAAGGTATTCAACAAAGTCTATAGGAATCAGCAGTGCTGAACTTGAACTAATAAACCTGTAGACTTCCAGTCCACAATATAGAGGCCTTTTGTAGTTGACTCTGCTTTATATTCTTCTGGAAATCCCTTGATATTTGTATAATACAGGGTTTTCTTCTTTTTGAGGCACTTCAGTCTTCTATTCCTTTGAATAGTGAAGACTTGAGGATATACACTTGTAAATGCTTATGTATTTATTTATTTATTTGTGAGTTACTATTGTTCAAATAAGTGGTAAATGTTCAAAATTCCCTTGCCCTAGGGCTTCCCAAGTACTTGTTCAAGATTTTGTATTTTCACGTACTAAAAACACAAACATTCCCACAAACTGTTTTTTTTTTCTCTCATTTTTCTCTTACCAGTAGCATACAGATATTTCCACAACAGCTATTTAGAACTCACTGGTCCTCAGAGATGTGCTTTCCGTGTGTCTTGTCCATGAATGCATGAGAGAAATTAAATTAGACCAGTGTAATCAACACTCAATACCTATTTTCTTGTTTTCTCCTCCCTTTCCCCTCCTCCCCACCACCCAGGTTTCTCAGGGCTGCATCTGTCTGGAGGGGACACTGCCTGCTCAGGACACCTGAAAATAAAGCAAGAAGAAACTTGGACTACGGTCTGTTACTCATACATTGATTTCAATGCTGCCTCTGTTATATGCAGTGAGCTAAGGTGTGGCCAGGCTGTGGATGTCTTGAGAGGAGCTCACTTTAGAGGCACACATGAATTGATCTGGCAAGAAAAGTTCCACTGTGTGGGGAATGAGACTCACCTTGCACACTGTCCCAGGACGTTGCAGCACAGTAAGGTGTGCTCTCATGATGCTTATGTTCTATGTTCAGGTGAGACTTTGGACTGATGGATGTAGTTTACATGTATCCCAAGTTTTCTTCCTGGCAGCCCACCACTCTTAGTTCTGCATATTTCTATGGTTCTAGGCTTCTTCCCCTATTATACCTGAGAGATTCAAGGAAGGGCCAGGAGTAAAAGAGAGCAGCCTCACAATCTCCTTCGTTCAACTGAGAGTCTGCATTTAAAGCATTCTTTGTGACAATTTCACTTTGTCACCGTGGATGGAGATCTCAAAAGATCTGTAATTTCTCTTATGTTATTAGAAGTATGAGCTCTGTAGCGTTTGGAATTCCTTCCTTGTCTTTCTCATACGCATAAAAGGAGAGGTGACCAGAGCAGATAATCAGGAACATGGCAAAATGCATTTTCTGCTCTGTTACTCTGTGTTAAACTCTGGCACTTCAGTTAATTATAAAACTGGGAGAGATACAACTACAGACCTCTGAAAAATCATAGGAGGCATAAGTTATAAATATTTATTAAAAAAAAAAGTCATCTGAGGCCTGGATGAATATAGCTGTAATTGTCAGGTATCATTATTTATGAATCTCATACAGTTTGGGCTTTAAATACAGCTGATGTTGACACCTACTAAAAAAATGATGATTAGACATAGAAAACTTCTTTCTCAGCTCAAAACTGAAAATGAGACAGAGGTGCTAGCAATACCTTATTTACAGAGCAAGCCTGGAAAGGAGTTCACTTCATGCTCTTTTTCCAGCCGCAGAATCATAAAATGGAATCAAAGAATTGTCAAGGTTGGAAAAGACCACTAAGCTCATCTATTTCAACCATCAACCCATCCCCACCATGAGCACTGTATCATGCCACTCAGTGCCACATCTGCCCTTTTCTTGAACACCTCCCTGCGCAGCCAGTTCCAATACCTCACCACTCTTCCTGAGATGAAATTTTCTTGATGTCCAATCTGAACTTCCCCTGGCAAAGCTCAAGGCCATTACCTCTTGTGCTATCACCAGTTACCTGGGAGAAGCAGCCAACCCCCACCTGATTATAACCAACTTTGAGGCATTTGTACAGTGTTATGGTCTCCCTTGAGACTTTTCCAGTCAAAGGGCTGCAGTCAGTTTCAAATCTGCCTTGGAAATGTCACAGTAGCTGTTGTGCTCTGCAGCCCTCTGAGGAGCCAGACAGTATAGTTAAGATGCCTGTGACTGACAGGTCTTGGCTCCTGTTCCTGTCCTGCAAGATTCATAGCTCAGAGGTTTCGTTAGAAGGAGTACTGTGCAAGGGTGAGGCAAGGGTAGGCAGTAACAGTATGAAAGGGCAGAAGAACTGCATGGGGATTGCAGTAGGACACTTCATACCATACTTAAATAATTGTGAATCACGACCTGATGGACATGACCTTTTGTGTTTTGTACCTTGTGCTGTGACACGCATGAAAGCTGAGAATTGCACTGAACTGGTTACTAATTAATGTGAGAGGACTTGATACTTGGAGAGAAAGTGCAACTAGTAGCTCTTACTCTGTTTCCCAAACATATCAAAAGCAAGACAGGAATTTAAAGATTGTCTCTCCAAAACAACAACAACAACAACAACATTCTACAAAGTAGCAGCAGCATTTTGAGGGGATAAGAGAACAAAGTGGAGGACAAGAGAGGGAAATTCAGGAGTTAAAAGATTTTCAGCCACGTAGTACAGGCTACAGCATAGATGAGTTGGTTTATGTGCTTCCAGTTTTACCACTCTACCCAGTAACCTGAGACAAAGAAAGTGTTAATAAACTAGATCTCTCTTACAATTTTCAATGTGATAGCATTAAATCATAATACAAATGTTTAAGTCCTTCATTATTCTTACAGGCTATGGCGGATACAGGTTGTCAAATGGCAGTTCCACATGTTCAGGGAGAGTTGAGCTGCTTCATGGAGGCTCATGGGGAACACTCTGTGACTACTTGTGGAATTTTCCAGCTGCCAATGATCTCTGCCAGCATCTGGACTGTGGAGTTGCACTATCAATACCAGATGGACAGTCCTATGGAAGAGGAAATGGGTCTTTCTGGAATGGTACATTCAGCTGTAAGAAGAACGGCTCATACTCAAGAGACTGTTCTGTGAGCATACTAGATCAGAATGAATGCCCTGCTGGAAATGTTGCTCGTGTGATGTGCTCAGGTGAGCAATGGAAAAGGCTAAGAGGAGAAATGAAAAATGGCTTCTTTGAGACAGATATGGATCCAAAAACCAGAAGGTATCTGTACAGCCAATCTCTGTATTTAGCCTGCTGCTACAGGTATTTCCAGGAGCTGAGAGGCACTTACCACAAGGCTGCTCACTGTCTGTGAAATGCTCTTTGTGCCAGGCAAGAGCAAGGGAAGGGCTGCTTCTCAGGAGAGAATGAGCTGGGTCTAGATGGTGAGAAAATATGAGTGCATCCACCAGGGTATAGTCTGAAGCATCCAAACACAGAGGGCTGAACTGGAGAGAAAAGTCAGGAACAGCAGAAGACAGGACAGTTACACCAACCACATAGTTGAAGCAAGGACTGAAGGCCTGGTTCAGGCTTAATTAAGTCCTTGGACCAATGGCCTGAGTTGAAAGACCCAAATACATCTGGTCAGAGTACTTAAGGTTCACTAAGAGCCTTGAAATCTAGTGCCTCAATTTTAAAAATTGCAGGAGATCAGATTCTGATTTCTAATCGTTCTTCTCAGTAAAACAGGGGGACAAAAATCTAGTTATATGTATGGAAATTCTTGTGGCCAGTGGAGTCATTTTTGCTCCTTCTCATTGCTAAGGAAAATTCATTTCCATTTCCAAGCCACTTTTTAGTTCATGCTCATGAGCAGTTACCAGTATGACATCTTGGTATTCATTTTCTCTTACATTCAGGGTGCCCAGGGGGCAGACTAGTGAATGGCACCGCATGCTCTGGCAGAGTGGAAATCCGCCATGGAGATACATGGGGAAGACTCTGCCGCTCCCACTGGAATTTGCAGGCTGCTAACGTTCTTTGCTATCAGCTCAACTGTGGCTATGCAAAGTCAATCCAGACAGGAGACAGTTTTGTGGATGGGAATGAACCTGTATGGAGAGATGCTTTTCACTGTGAAGGGACAGAGTCCTGCCTGTGGGATTGTGCTCAAGTGACTTTGGGCAATCCAACTTGTTCAGCCAAAGAAGTAGCCACTGTTGTTTGCTCAGGTAAGTCAGGAATTGTTTTCTTCAGGTTCTGAAACTTCAGACCAAAGCAATCTTGGTCTCTTTGCCAAGTTGTATATATCAGCTTATATTTAACGTCCTTATCCTTCCTTCACTGCCCACCCATCACTCTTCTGTCCCCAGTTTCAGCATAAAAACCTCATTTAGTAGGATTTCACTCTAGAGGAAATCACATTATTTAGATGTGCCTGATTCTAGGAAGATCTAGCCTTTCAGCTGAGTATGTCTTTCTTGCTTCCTATTGCAAAATCTTCTGGGCATAGAAGCAAGCAAAGGCTATCTCCTTAATCAGTGGTGTGAAATACTCTTTCCCATCATATAATTTTGACTTCCATCTCTCCCCTGCATGTTATTTCTACTGTGATAACAGCAGAAAATTTTATTCAATGCATTTTCCAAACCTTTTGAGCGCAGGTCTTGCTGAATCACTCAGACTCTCAGATGGTCAGAGCCGCTGTGATGGGCGTGTTGAAATCTCCCTCGATGGCACGTGGGGCAGAGTCCTAGATGACGACTGGAACATCAAAGATGCTCATGTGGTATGCAGACAGCTCCAATGTGGAATAGCAAAGAGAGCCTATTACCTTCCAAGATCTGAACGAGGTATCGGTCCTGTGGGCTTAAGAAGTGTCCAATGTGATGGAAATGAGACTCAGCTAGTGCTCTGCAAGACCTCCCATTCTCAGGCGCTGTCAGCAGGAATTGCTGAAGATGTTGGTGTGATTTGCTCTGGTGAGTTACTGTGTGAAAAGAACAGAATGTCTCTAGCCAACCTTGTGCTGTGGTCTCATCAGATCTTAAATAGGTATGGATCAGAGTTTGTGAAACTCACCTACTTGTATACAATAAGAGATAAAAGTCAAAGAAGCAAGTGAAATTCACACATTTCTCTCTTCATCTGAATCAAAAAGAAATAACAGAATACAGAAGTCATAAAAGCACTAATTTGTCAGCGACTATCCACATTTTAACTGACATAAAAGAACTGAACAGATTTGGTTTTGTGACTCTTCTATATACGTATGGGCACATACAGCCTTTCTAAATATACACATAAACAAGAACTATTGCTATGTATCTCTTATTTTGTAACGCATCTGTTGCACAACCTGTTTCTGATCTAAATGCATCTAATTAGAAAACAGCTTCTCAGACTTTCTAAAACAAGGTGATGTCTGCACGTACTTATCATGACTAAACTACCGCTACCCATTTGCAGTTACCAACAGGAATTACTTAAACATTTACCCGTTGCAGTAGTCCTTTGCCTCCATGTGGTTTTAGCACCACAGGAGTTCTGCCTAAGAAATCATAATAAATGAACTGGAATCTAACAAGAACATGATGCCTCAAATGTGCTTTAAATATACACTCATTAAATGGACCAGTGCATTATCAATACATTCAATATTGTCAGTTGCATTTTCTTCCTGCAGAGAGCCGGCAGATCAGGCTGGTGAATGGAACAAAACGCTGTGCTGGGAGAGTGGAGCTTTATCATGATGGCATCTGGGGCACTGTCTGTGATGATAACTGGGATCTATCAGATGCAAATGTTATTTGCAGACAGCTGGGATGTGGATATGCCATCAAGGCATTAGGCTCTGCTCACTATGGAAAAGGCTCAGGACAAATCTGGCTGGATGATGTGAACTGCACTGGGTCTGAATCCAATATCTGGCAATGTCCCTCTAGGGCATGGGGTCATCACAACTGCCAACACAAAGAGGATGCTGGAGTCCTATGCTCAGGTATGTTCAAAGAATACATTTCATAGCCTGTGAGTTGAAAGAGAACACGAATGGGAAAGCTGAGAAATGGTGGAGTCTTCCTTGAACAGCTTGTTATTCTCTCCTGTCTGCAAGCATGGCCCATCATCACAAAGGGTGTACTGAAGTCCTTATTTTGCATTCACACATGTAAATGCAAAAGTGTATGCTGAGGGATTTGGGGGATAAATTGGAGGGTTGCTATACCAAGAGGCTGTGGTTGCATGTTGTGCAGAAGGAGGTCATCAACTGTCAAGTCCCAGACTGTTTACCAGTGGATAGGGTCAGCACAAAGGTCACAGACACCACATTAAAGAAGTGTGTTTATCTTTACTTAAGGTTAAGGCAGTGAGATAATAAGCTCAATGATATAGTAAGAATAAAATAGAACAAGGCAATACGCCTAACTATTACTGCATGAGTAATAGCAATAGTCATTAAGAAAGATACATCACCAATTGCCCTCATACTTTACCATCATCCAGATTCGTAGTTGCCGGGGAGCTCCAGTTGCAGAGAGGATTTGGAGAGCCTTCCCAGCAACTGGGAAGTCCTACACAGTGCATCCACTCGTAGTCGAGGCCTCCAACTTCACCATAAGAGAATCCAGCTTTTATATTGTTGAATAAACACATTTACGTGACAATTAAGAGGAAACATCTGGTTTCATTCTCTCTTTGGATTCCACCACAGGCCTGGAGAGGGCTCAAGAAAGAACCAAGGAGGCTTATGTGCTAATAGGCCTTAACAATATGCTTCCAAACAAGGAGAGGTTAATACACTCCCATAATAGTTCCTCTAAGCTACATCTCCTGATAATGAGGTTTTGCCCAAGATGCATATTTTGCCAATAATTATACTTTTTGCTAATGATACATTTTGGTAATGATTGGATACTGACAATATATAACTCTGAGTTGTGAGATTTATCTAGAGGTCAACTTTGGTTCAAAGCCTATTGTTCAGGTCTCAGTACTTCACAGATAGTCAGCAACAGCTGGCTCTGAAACTTATGGAAACAGTCCACTGCACACCAAACCTTAACCAATCAGAGGAACATATGGTGCTTCTGCTCATGCATATTTGAAAAAGAATGTCAGCAGCAAGAGAGAGGAGAAATAGAGTAAACATCTGGGGGACATTGCTGGAGACATGATTTAGAAGGTGACAGTCCTTGCTGGAGGAGATATTCTTCTTGAGAGGGCTGCGGCCTGTGAATAAACCACAGAAACAGATAAACTTTTGAAAGGGTTGAAATCTGTGGAGGGCATACACAGGACCAAGTACAACTCCTAAAGGGACTGCAGCTTGAGAAGGAGTCATAGTGGAGTAGAGAAAAATGAATAAGTGCAGCGCAAAAAAAGGCCAAAATGCTATCACAGAAACATGGTGGGATTAATCACATGATGGGAATACTACAATAGAGGGCTGCAAGATTTTTAGAAGGAATAGGCAAGGCAGGAGTGGCAGGGGAGTTCTCTATATTAAGAAGTGGATAGATTGTGAAGAACTGCCACTGTGAAACAGCCACACTCAGATTGAGAGCATGTGTCTTAAAACTAGGGACCAGACCAATAAAGCACATTTGATTATCAGGGTCTACTACAGGCTGTCTGATAAAGGGGAGCCATGGACAAGGTCTTCTTGCTTCACATCACAGGCTTTCATCCTGATGGGGGATTTCAACCATCTAGGCGTCTGCTGGGAAAGGAACACAGCAGGCTGCAAGCAATCCAGGGAAATCCTATAGTCTTTGAAGTATAACTTCCTGTTTCACCATAGGTGATGTGTTACTGGACCCAGTGTTCACCAGTGCAGAGATCATTAAAGAAGTTAAGATTGGAGGTGATCTGGGCTGTAGCAACCATACTATGCGAAGTATGGGCCTGGCAAACAAAAGACTCTGAACTTCAGGAGAGCAAAGTTGTGTCTGTTTAAGAAATTATTGAATGGAATTCCCTGGGAAGCTGTCCTTGGGGACACAGGAATTGAAGAGTGGTGGTAGCTCTTTAAGGAAACATTTCTGAGAGCAAAAGAGCTCTTCATTTCCCTAGTTAAGAAATCAAACAGAAGATGCAGGAAACCAACCTTGCTAGGCAAGGACCTGCTGGTCAAACTGAGGAAAAAGCAGGTCATGTTTAGGCAAGTACATATGGTGTGGGAAGAATGCAGGGGTGCCATCTAGGCATGCAGAGGTGGGATCAGGAAAGACGAAGCACAGAGGTGGGATCAGGTGAGGGATATGAAAAATAACAAGAAGAGATTCTACAGTACATCAGTCAGAAGACGGGAAAAGGAGGGTGTGCCCCTCTGATAAATGGGAAGATAGAACTGGTTTCAACAGACATGGAGGGAACTGAGGTACTCAACAAACCTCAGTCTTCATTGCCAGTCAGGCAATTCTCATGTCCCTGACACTCTAGGCGGGGGCTGAGGGAGCAATATCCCTCCCATTGTATGATATCTGCACTTTCCTCACCTCCAGAAAAGTGTATGACCAGCTGTCATAGAAGCCCCAAAGAAAACTGTATGCCCTGAGATCAGTTGAATGATAAAGTACCGGCCACTCCTGTGGATTCTTGGACTGGGACAATAGTCAAAATCACTGAGGAAGTGGCTCCTATTGTTTGAAGAATAATGCTTACTGAATGGTTGGTCTTTGGAAACAAGAAAATGAAATGTGTGTTGAATCATGTCCTCTGATTTCATTTTTATATCTTCACTTTCAGAGTTCCTGGCTCTAAGGCTGGTGAATGGCAATGGCTGTGCTGGAAGGCTAGAAGTTTTCTACAATGGGACATGGGGGAGCATTTGCTCCAATCGTATGTCTCAACTCACAGCAGTAACTGTATGCAAACACCTGAACTGTGGAGATGTTGGGGAAATTGAAAGAGATTTCAAATATGGCAGAGGTTCTGGGCCCACATGGCTGGATCACATTGAGTGCACTGAGCAACACAGCTCTCTCTGGCAATGTCAGTCAGACCCTTGGAATCCTCAGTCATGTGATAACCGAGCAGAAGAAACCCATATTTCTTGCATTGGTAAATATAAATGCACCCATGCAGTACCTCCCAAATAGACATACATCTGCACATGCATACATGGACAATATGATGCTTACCTCATGTATATTTGTTCCAGTTTATATTATTTTCAGCTTCATGAAATTGGCACAAACATTTTGTCTACATCTCTGCTGAAAATGAGTAAATTAAAATGATATCAGTGTTAAAATACAAAGGAAACCCCCAACAGGATGCTGCCATTGCTTATCTATACATTAAAAATCTGTGAAATGCAATTAGTCTGTGAGATTTCAGTTGAGACTATTCAAGAAGACTAGAGACATATATGTATTTCTATATGTATGGATGCAAAGCGGTGCTTATAATACACACAAATACATATGCACATAACCAAGTGCAAGTGTATGCTAGTTCAGTTCTAAATTTTTGTTTCTGATGTCTGCTTTTAGGATAGTATTTCATATCTGTGGGTTCCCAATGAAGTATAAATTATTTTTAGATAACTCAGATCTCTTGAAAGGCACTTCAAGAGAAAAGAAAGCAAAGTCATCAGAGAATTTAAAGATTTTTTAATATACAATAATAGCCAAACACTAATAAATGCCATCTACTACACCAACTACTAAATAGCTTACACATTTATTATAGGAAAAATGCGCTTGATGATTAATACTCAGGAAGTTTATACTCCTTTACTCTTTCCAGAGAATAATCTAATTATTTAATTCAGTATTTAATTTCTGCAGGAAGAAAAGGAACAATGACTCCAGCTACATTTACTGAGTGTCCAAACTCTACAAGTTGCTCAGGTACTTCTACCCCTTTGTTTTTCCTAATTAGTCTCTATGGACCTTATTGCTATTCAGGCAATACAGATGTTTTTTTATTATGCAGACAAGGAGAAGTTACGTGTTGTAGGAGGAGAGGATGCGTGCTCAGGAAGAGTGGAGATTTGGCATCAGGGTTCCTGGGGAACAATCTGTGATGATTCCTGGGATGTGGCAGATGCTAATGTTGTATGCAGGCAACTGGGTTGTGGTTCCGCTGTGTCTGCTCTGAGTGAAGCTGCCTTTGGGGAAGGGACAGGTCCCATCTGGCTGGAGAAGGTCCACTGTAAAGGAACAGAACTGTCACTTTGGGACTGTCCTTCCAAGCCCTTGCTTGGCAAAAACTGTGATCACAAGGAAGATGCTGCCGTGGATTGCTCAGGTTAGTAAAACGCTCCTTTGGTTCATCACACAAACTGGGGAAGGAGGTGGATAGAGGGATATTACGCCATCTGTCCATCCCAGTGACTAGCCTCTTTATAATTCTGACTGAAGGAATCTCACAAATGATATGAATATATTCTTCCTACTTTTCAATTACCTCTTCCTTAATCTGGACTCACATTCCTTTTGTAGGTGTGACAGAAACAACAGCAGCTTCCACTAGAGCAGGTAAAACATTCCTTCTTCACCTTTCTTCCTCCCATCAAATTAGGGACTTTCATTGTCACTGATATTGCATAACAGGTAAATCAGAAATATATCAACCTGCTTTAGCAGGAGAGTTGGACTCAATGATATCTTGAGGTCCTTTCCAACCCCTGCTGTTCTGTGATTCTGAAATATTCTAGCTCATCAGAAAGCATCTCTCACAGCCTTTTGTAAAGGAGAAATGAGTGGCACTATTTCTAGCTGCTGAATTCTTTCTCCTTGAGCAGAAATTATGCAGCAGGTGACCTGCCTCACTCTGCTACCTGAGCACACGAGGAGGCTTCAGAGGAGCAGCCTTTGGGCTACAGGGTTCTTCTTTATGTGTTGCCTCTTTGTTTCCACTTAGCTTCACCCCGCCGCTCAGTGACAAACAACACGAGAGCTTCAGCACCTGTCATCCTCTGCATCATCCTGGGGGCCCTCCTCTGCCTGGTTCTCGCCATTCTCGCTGGACAGATCCAAAGAGCCAGGGCACAGCACAGAGGTGTGTTGGTATAAAATGCTTCCTTGAAATGACTGGCAAGTTTTTAGCTGCCTGAGGGAGAAGGGGAGATGAGTGGCTGAGGTAAATGACACCTGATGCTGCACTGAGATTTTCACTCATTCTCAACCAACTGGAAACTGACAGCAGTCAGGACAACTACTGGGAGTCTTGGGCCTGGTCTTCCTCTGTAGGATACTTGAAGTGACCTGCCTATGTGGAGAGAAACAGAGATTAGGGGACAGGGGAATTAGCTTGAGAGTGGAAAGTGAGGTCAGTCTGGAGAAACAGTTTTGCAGTGAGAAACAGCAAAAATGCAACCCTAATTTAGAGTATCAAATCAGTACAGCAACTGGAAACCTCATAGCTAGTAGCACATTAGATCTCAGACAAATGAGTAGTAATATCTCCAGTTCAGACTGGATCTGCATGAGCTCTTTCCCCGAAGTGCCATAAACATCCAGAAAGCTTTCAGTCTCCTGAGTAAGGAAGGGACTATTAGAAGATAACCCAAAACATAACTTTAAGCAAAGAAACTTAGATGTGCACAGAGACAGAAAAAATTGAATGGATTTGTTTCCAAATCCAAACTTGCTTCCTCACCCAATATCTAAGGTCTCTTTGTCAAAATAAACTTCTTCTCCACACTTACTCTTAGCCAGCACCTCTTAGTGACTTTCTGGGTAGTGACCAGATTGTGTAGACCCTGTTAGATCCCTCCTTCTTTTCATGACCATGGCCTGAGTATGGACAGAGTCTGTGAATGATCATGCATTTTACATTCAGGCTCCAGGCGATCCTATGACTCCTTCAATGAGGTTGTCTATGAGGAGATTGACTACAAACTGCTGAAGGAACAGCAAGGGATGTCTGGCCTCTCAGGTATGTGTGTCTTGTTCTCATCAAGAGAAACAAACTAAAGCTCATTTCTTCTGGTGGCCTCAGTATGAAACTGTGCAGCTCACACATTTACCAGGAAACGAAACAGTTCCTACACTTGAGTTTCCTGTCCTGTGTATTCTACTAATTCTTCTCTAAGGGATAATTCATTTTGTGCTGTTCCCATTGCAGCCAGAGAACATGGTTCAGCATGCCAGCCTCCCAAACCCTTACTCCTCACCCCACCCACTCCCTCACAAAAAAAAAAGCTTTTGCTACAGGTGTGATCTTCAACCTGTTTTTCACATGATGCAGTTGAGCAGCTTAGGAGAGTTTGCTCTGACATCACACTTCCTCATTTGCCTACTTTCTTATTCAGAGGGTTCCACAAATGAACGATTCTATGGTGGAGACTGTGACAAAGAAAGTAGTCCTGAAGCAATTCAAGGCAATGCAAGATAGGGATCCTACAAAGAAAGAGACTTCTAATTTCCAAAGCATTGTTGAAAACACCTTTTTCTTGCTGCGCTTCATGTTGAATAGTGATGTTAGAAGAAAGCCAAAAATTTTTGTTTAATTTCTTTTGTGGAAGTGCGTCATAATCTTTACATGAGAAGCTGAAAATAAAAGAAATCTTTGTTGGTGGTATTTCACTCTTCACAGGATTGAGCCACTAGAAACTATATCTGTAATACCAAGCAAACTGTTGCTTAATTTCTTTCATGATGGGAGGGATTAAGACAGGAAAAAAAAAAACAAAAAAACCAAACATATTATTGGAGTTGAATAGGAAATTTTTACCCCAGTGATGAAAAAATGCAATCTGCCAGATATGCAGAGAAGCACTGTATTTTCTTAGTGATAATCAAGACACTCACATAAATATTGCCTTCTCTCAGATAAATCTATTGCCAAAAGCACAACCAGTTTTGGTCTTCAGCAGCCCATATTTCTAATTCTCTGCTGTAATGTCTTTTATTTTCTATTGGTTTTATTATATTTAGGTTTTTAATTATTTAAACTTTTATTTAAATTTTTAAGCCTTTACTTTCCTTACTTGTTTTGAAGTTTTCACTAAGAAAATCATTCCAAATAAGATCTCTTTTTCTAATCCAGATTGACTATTGAATACTGGGTGAAAAAATGAAATAGGAGCACTTTGAATAAATTTTAATTTTACATCTGCATTGACTATATATGTATTGTGCGAGCATATATATATACCATAAAACACTGAAAACCAAGGTTCACTGGGGGATGACTTCCAGATAAGTACAGATTGCTGAGCTAGATTCCCCTGAGAAATCTGAACTTGACATCCTGGAGTTTGTTTATCCCCCTGAACAATTTTCAGAATTAACGAGTTTGAATTCTGCCAAGAGATGCTTCTGGTTTCT